ACACACACACACACACACACACACACACACACACACACGCATAATAATTCGATTTTATTAATTTTTTTTCTATAAAGATAATGCAACTTCCGCGAAAGTGACGTTCCTTTTAGACTATTCATTTCTTCAATTGTCTCGGGAAAAAGGAATCTATATAGCATAAATGTCTGGCTCGTTTACGCAGAAACAATTGGACGTCCTAGAATCTGGGGAAGGGTTAAGTAAAACAATGTGAAATAGGATCGAGAAAAGAGGAGCGTGATAATGCGAACTCGATAAATCCGGGACGTGTTCACGGTTAACAATTCGATCAACGGAAATTCGCTTCGCTCGTCGGCCGTTCATTCGTTAAAATGAGGAGCCGGTAAAACCGAGATCGATCGGTCGTCACGTCACGAGATAATTTTCGAGAAAAAGACTATCGATCCCGACAGCAGATAACAACTTTGCGGATATAATGGCAATTTAATATCGGATGAAATTTCTGTAATTCGCGCGCGATAGCGCCGATAGCCAAATTGGGAGAGCTGGGCAACCTGCAATTAATTCATGAGCGGAAAATGTGCGTTCTGATTGAAATCCCTGAAAATTACCACCGTCAAAATATTCAACCGAATCACATTTGGAAAAGCTTTTATTTTGCTGGTTTGTAATGCGAAAAAGCCAAAAGCCGCTGGAAGGATGCAATAACTCCCTTTCTGTATTTCTTTCGCAATATATGAATTATATCTTGTACCTCTCGATGCAGATATATAAATACATAGATGTCACGAAATGTGTCGTTTAAATTTGCTACTTTTCGGGAAAAAAATGATGGATAATTCCTCTTAGAAAAAGAAATTAATTTCTATTTTTTCCTTTCATTCATGAATCTGGTTTTCATTATAAAAATATAAAAGGATTTTTTTCATCGAACAACGTGAAACCGGTGAAACGTTGAAATATCATGAAATTATATTTCCATGATATTTATTAACAAAAATTTTTTCATCGCACTTTTTCCGCTAAATTTTGCAATCGCGTAACAATCAAAGAAATTACACAGATATAAACGTTCGCGGAACAACTCCGCGTTTTAAAGATCTTTCGTCCGCGTATTAAGTGGAAAATAAGTAACACCGCGTGCGGGGCCCATCCACGGCTTTCATTGTACCGCAACAGAGGTAATGTTGCATAAGTAGATCGTAAAACTAACATGAAAATGCAAATCGCTGCGCGCGGCATTGCGAAAATCCCGGAGTGGCGATTGCGTGCGTCTTTATTGCAATTTATTGCTCATAATTTTGATTGCGAGGTGCTAGATACGCCAATACAGCGGTTCCTAATGAGAATCGTCTGCGTTTTTTATTGGCTAATAAGTTTGATGTTTTACGTGCGTTGTTTTTTTTCTTTTTTCTTTGTATGCAATAACGTATATTTTCTCTATCGATTATCGAGTATCGCTGAAGACACGTCACAATACGCGCGATCGCGAAGACTTATCGTAGTTCCATATCGACCTCGATCGCGTTATTTCTTATTTAATTATTACTTGTTTATAAATATCATCGTCTCTGATCTACAGATTTTAAATCGCGCACTTTATCGCGTTATAGAATTTCGAGATAATCGTATCGTGTGGACAGTAAATTTTATATTATTATCAATGCGTTACACGAGCATTATTTTATTACAAAAGAGAGTATTTAATCGTTTCGAATTATATCATACACACACACACACACACACACACATATGTATGTGTATATATAGGATTTAAATTTTTTATATATTCACGTAGACAATCGAAAATATACGAGCGTTAATTTTAGCTCGTTATGTTAGCGTAAATTAGATGAAATGTTACATATAATTCAAAATTCCGACGTAAGATCGATTGAGAATATGCCGTACGACCATCACACGCAACCTCACGGTATAATTACAAGCAATCACACGAATATATACATATTCTGCAAGCGTAGCATTACTCCCGACATTTCAACGTTGTAATTTACCCGCAAAACGTCTCAATTATAGTCCTTTAAACGTTACGATTCGGCGATACGAGAGAGATACTTTCCGATACCCCCTCTGATGATTTTTGAGACATCGTGGTAATCGTGAGTCGCGCCCGTTATCGGTCGCTACGTAAAAGAGCTCGAGGGAAAAGAACGAGAGACGGCAGGGGAAGGAAGGCAGGCAGGCAGGCAGGGAGGAGGAACGAGGAGGGGGGGGAGGCGGAGGGGGCGGCAGGGTAGGCGAATATGAAAAACTCACCTGTCCGAGGGCGGAGGCGGTCGAGCCCGGCTGCTGGGGTTGATGCGCTGTCGCCGATATCGGCGTGAGGGGCGTGTGCGGCGTGTGCGGTGTGTGCGGCGTGTGCGGTGTCAGCGGCGTGTGATACTGCTGACTGCTGTCACCGCCGGTGCTCCTCATCTCGAGGTCCGGACTCGTCTCGTAACCGTCGTCCCTCGCCTCCTGCTTCACCATCACCCCTGCACACAGAGACAAGGATAGGGCGACGCCCTTTAGATTTTCGGAGCCTCGTTCTCATCGTCGTCCACCGACACCCCGGGAGCTTTCTCGAGCCTCCTGGGCGTCGTGGAGCGAAAAATTTTCTCACGCGACTATGTGCCGCGCGCGCGCGCGCGGCACGTTGTTGCGGTGATTAACTCTTTATAGCTGCGCGCGATAATAACTCCCCAACCCCCGAGTTCACTCTGTGAGGGGTTAAGCGAAAAAAAA